GAGTATTATGACCAATAAATGCTATAAGAACTTAAACGTTGATCAAAGTAGACTAAAAGATGAAGCTTTTCATTTTGCTCTCATCAGAATTTGGCCCTTCCATGAGCATGTTTGAGAGGCAGTTGGCTGGTCAGCTGGTTTGTGATGCAGACTGATGCCAACAAGCATGGATTCAATTCCCACATTGAATGAGGTTACCATGAAGATCTCTCCATCTCATCATCTCCAGTTGCCTGATGTAATCTTCAGGTTGAACCACCACCAGTCATTTCTCTCTAATGAGAGAGCAGCCCTGAGGTTCTGAAGGACAATGGCAGCTTTACCTTTACCTTCACTATGTGTTTGTTCAACATCGTCAGCTTATTTACCAACATACCACACAAAGACACCATTGACATCTGCACAAGGTCACTATGTCACGGCTATCTAGATGTACCATCTGTACCTGTGTCATTGGATTCACAAACTTAGCAACTTGTGCAGTTGAGTTCTGTTTCAATGACAGCATGTACGTCTAAGTACATAGCATTATCATAGGATCGCCTCTCACCCCAGCCCTTGCTAACATCTTTGGCTACATGAGAAGCACATTTTCAATGGACATGCTCATGAAGGGGCTACATCTACCAGTTTTAGCCCTGACATTCAAGCTACTGAAGCTGCTGGGTTCCTGGTCTATCTCAGATTGCCCTGGATGGGAAAGGTGTCTCAAAACTTAGAACAACAGGCGAGTTGAGATGTCTCGTGCTGCTATCATGTAGTAAATCTTCAAGTAGTTTTCTCCAGTGCAGGATGTCTCCAACAAGTCAAATAGACATTTTGCCTACTGCACAAGAGAGAGATGATGCCAGGCGTACAGGTTGGATGTCCCAACAGCTGGGAGACTATAACAAACAATTTGTCCCATTGACTGTTCACATCTGGCAGCAAGCTGCTCATTCTCAACCAGCTCATGCTTCAAGAAAAGTGTATTTGCCATGAGGTGTGATGCTGCTATTGAACATTATTTATTACATAACCTAAATTATGCTAAGAAACCAATTTATGATTGTCAGCTGAACTTGTAATGTTTGGATGTGCTAGAAGCCACATACATAAATGGTCAGGACCCTGTTTTATGTAGGCAAAAGGAACTTGTACATACATTGCATGTTTTTAAAACAAAATTGTCATAGAAACAGCCAAACTCTGTTGCATCCCCATGGCCCAAATGAGGAAATCCAGAGAGACTGAGCGGGGTCAGGTGCATAGGTCTTAAAAATGTCACAAACAAGAGGAGAAAATAATCAAGAAAACTAATGGAATGCTGACGTTTATATCCAGAGGACAGAAGTGTAAGGATGCAGAAATTATGCTGTGGCTATACAAAATCCTAGTTAGATTCCACAAAGATTACTGTGGGAAGATCTGGGCACCACAATGTAGCAAGCATATACTGGCCTTGGAAGGAGTACAACATAAGTTTACAAGAATGATACCTGGACTTCAAGGGCAAAGTTATGAAGAGACATTATACAAATTAGGCCTGTTTTCTATAGAGTTTAGAAGGTTAAGAAGTGATCTGATCAAATTCTTCAAGATATTAACAGGAAAGGACAGGATAAAGAAAGATAAACTATTTCCACTGTTTGGGCATTCTAGAACTAGGGGCCATAGTCTGAGAATTAGTGGCAGACCATTTATGAAAGATGTTAGGAAGCACTCCTACATGCACACAGTGGTAAATGTTTGGAACTGTCTTCCACAAATGGCAATGGGTGTAGCATCAGTTGTTACTTTTATATCTGAGATAATTTTTTGTTAAGCAAAGGTATGAAGGGATGTGGGCCAAAGAAGGTATATGGAGTTTAGACCATAGATCACCAATGAACTCATTGTATGATAGAACAGGCTGAAAGGATAGAATGGCCAACTGCTGGTGCAGTGGCGAAGATTCTAATTGGTCAGGGCTATCTGCCTGCGCCAAGAATTAAGATTTATGATTAACAATTCTTGCTTCACCTCCATTCTAATGATGGCCCAACCAATTAGCATCCTCTTCTTATGAAGTATTTATTCATGTCTGTTACTTGTGTCCTAGTTGATGAGTGCAAGATAAAAAGAAATCTTCTACTTCTAGTCTTTTTTTGGTAATTTTTAAGTGTAACATTCTCAGCTGATAGTATTACTGGATAAGTCAGATCCCTGACTAAAATCTACCTTCTTAGAACATATTTTGTTTTTCTGCTTCAGTGAGGTGGTCTCTCACTGAAACACAAACATGCAATGTTGGTGATAGGGTTTCAACAATAAAACACGTTGATTAAGCAAACAAAATGAAGATTTACAGACAATTTGCAGAAAGACAGATTCAAAGATTTTGAAGCACATAGTAATATATAATCCCATAAATCCTAAAACACTCCTTTACTGATCCCACAAACATCACTGTCCAGGATCCAAATGCATCTCTTTGTACAGTACTCTGACTGAAGAAAAATCACCTTCCCTACTACCTCTAATGGCTTGATTTAACTGTGACTTCCACTTGCAGTCTGAAAAATCTGGTAGACTGTTCCTAGAACTTTCATGTGCCTGAGTTTAACTATTTTCAGCTACAAATAACAACTTCAAGGTTTTGTCTAAACACTCCTGATCTGGAATCATTACTAAATTCCTTACTGAAAGGTAATATACTTTAACTATCTTCTTCCTTTCTCAGAATTCATCATCACCCAAGATGTTTGTAAAACTGTCCCAAACTAATAACTTTTTAAAAAAGACTTTTCAAGACGTGTGTTTCTCTTAAGCTTGAAAAAAATCAAATGTAGAAACTTCTATCGGAAAGTTTAAGGTGTGTGCCTTGCCATGTTCCTTGCTCATTTGTAAATTTTCTAATGTAAACAAAACACAGTACTCCTCGAGGCTATTTATCAATCAAGTTATTTTATGAGAAGTGGCAATGACTACAGAAATACTTACAAGTTCACCAGTAAACCCTTCAGACACAAAAATCCAAACTTAAAAAAGAAAGATATTAAAATATACTTAAATCAGCTACTGTACATCTCAGGATCATTCATAGAAAAATATTCAATATATCTATCGAGAATATGGTCTCTTTAATAACTCTCCTCTGATGTGCTTTAAATATTTAGGGGAAGATTCTAGAGCCTATAACTTAGTCAGCCAATTGTGAACCTTTGGAAATAAAGGAGGTTCAAAAGACCATATTTAGAGGAGTGCACAGATTTTTGAGGTTGTAAGGCTGGAGCCATTACAAAGTTTAGGAGAGGAAAGCCCCTGTGATTCTAGAGAAATTTGGAAACCATGGTATGGATTTTAAAACCAGGACCATCACACTATCTTGTTGAAGTCTTGACAATGAAATATGTACAAATAGTTGGAGTCTCACTCTTTCAAATTTTACTTACTGGAATTTTCTTCAACTTCCCATTTCTTGTCGCTCTATCTGTTTATTTTTCTTTTGCATCCTATTTTGTTTGCTTTACATTCACTTGCAGTGATTTAAATATTATAACTTGTACTTCTTTATAGACCACAAAAGGCAGGTAGCTTTGAGAAGGCTGTCTTAGTTGCCTTTTAAATCAATGTAATTACCTTGCTGTCACATGCAAACATGAAGTTCTCCTACCATGCTGGCTGTCCTTTGCAATATCTAGTTCCAATGTGAAAACATAGAGCTTCCCTCCTGATGTCTTCTAACTCAATATTCCATACATCCTGCATTCCGGTTTGCAACAATATTCAAGTCACAGCTGCCAGGAAAGCAGGCATTCAAATGCATTATGCTGAGAAGATGGTTGCCAACAATCTAAACAATAATGTCTCTAGCATTCATATATGAGGCTCAGTTATTCATTATTCATTCACAGGATTAGGGCATTGCTGACCAGACAGCATTTATTGCCCATCCTTAATTGCCTAGAGGGCAGTTCAGAGTCAACCACATTGCTGTGGGTCTGGAGTCACATGTAGACTAAACCAGGTAAGGATGGCAGTTATCCTTTAGGGAAGGAATTAGTGAATGAGATGGGTTTTTCTGACAATTGACAATGGGTCCTTCCATCTGTCATGGCGGGATTTGAACTCTGGTCCCCAGAACGCTATCTGGGTCTCTAGATTAACACCCCAGCAATAATACCACTAGGCCATTGCTTCCCCTAAGAAGAATTTGTATGGTTGCATATGTGTTCTAAGTCCCTGGATTCCTATGACCATTAGGCAAGTAACTTAATTCTTTCTCTGTGAAATAGTGAATTTATCAAATATTTTATGCAGCAATACACTTTAGATTGACTGATGTTACTGATGTTCCCTTGGTTCCTTGCCAAAGGCAAAATAGTTTAGAATAGCTGAAGGTGTAAATTTTTGTGTCCCTTGTTGTTTCACAACTACATGTTGCCCTATGGTGATATTTTCTGAAGGTGTGGGATGAGGTTTCATATGCACAATGATAGGGTTAGTTATCTCAGTTGGCTGGATGACTGACCTGCAATACAGCGTGTTTGGAAAAGAACAGGCTGAATTCCCACGCTGGCTGAAGTTGTGATGAAGGTTCCTACCTTCTCAACCTCACCCCTCACCTAAGACATGATGACCCATTAAATTCACCACTAGTTGTCCCTCTCAAATGGGAGAATAGCCTTAAGGTCCTTGGGACTATGGCTACTTTATCTTTTCTCGTTGTTTGATAAACGAACATATTCAAAGATCATTGATGCAAAGAAAAATTGGATCTTTTAGCAGCTTGAATGTGATATAATGTCCACTGGGATAAATCAGTAGTACAGACAGATTGAAAATGCAAATATGTTCTAATGGGATGGATTAGTGAAATCACTTCTAGATGAAATAGTGTAATCTTTCATAGTATTTCATTTAGATGATCTACCGTACAAGTACAATTATGATGTTTATGTCACAGTCCAGAATCTGAAGTAGGAAGCAATTTTCCTTGTGTTAGCAAATCAAAATATAACTTCTGTTCTCATCTACAGGAAAATGTCAACATTGATGAAGCAGCTCGATGTTTGGTCAAACACATCATGGCTAGTGAAAATGATCTTGCACAATCTGTTGAGTCGGATGTTGTCACCCCAGCACTCAATTCCTTCAGAAGCAACAGCAGTTGCTCTTCCTGTTTTAAGTCTTAGATTGGGATCTTGCTGTAACAGGCCAGTTACGGCTTCCGTACTTATGTTTGTATTTGCAATAAGAACATTATTAACTGGAATCTGATGGGTAGTGGAATTTTGACAAATATGAATGAGTGGAAATTTCAATTACAATAACTTGCAATGATGTAGCCCATGTCTAACAGAAAATAAATCATTCCCAGGGCTTCACCGGGTTAAGAAAAGGCAGTTTATGTCACAAAAAAGTGTCAACAAAATGTCTAATTTTGGACCACGCACTGTCTTTATTTTGTATTCAACAGTACAAGAGGATATAATTCAACTTTGACAGAGGTAGGAAAGGGATCATGCAGATGGGTTATTCCAGTGGAAAGGAATGTTGGTAGGATATATATCAGGCAACTGATCTACCCCTGCCCATTCTGTACACCAGCCAGAGGTAAATTTTATCTTCTATGTGTCATTTCCATCTGCACGTGTACGAGCCACAATATAATTACATACTTTTGACAGCATTTCATGATTTCATAAGAGTTTGCCAAACTTATTGTGATGACCACTGCCATCTCACTTGCCATTCCATTTAAAAAAGAATTAAGCCATGAAGACTGGTGTATCTGTGAGGGAAGAAGAGGAAGGTGATATTGAACACAGTGCTTTGAGGAAGCTAAATTAATGTGTGCATGGTTGATTTGGTTACTTAAAATGCATTTGTAATGATTTTATCCTAACTCATTCATGCTGTATGACTCATTATCTCATTCAAGCTGGTTCAGTTGTCATTTTGGTTTCCTTCCTCTCCTTTTTTCCTCCACTGAAAGTCTTAATTCTACAATTGTTGCTCAGTTGGTAGCACCTTTGCCTCTTCATCAGAAAGCTTTGTTTCAAGTCTCACATGAGGTACTTGATCATATCCAATGGTGTTTGACAAACATTTCAGTCTGATGATTTAAAGGTAGTAGAAATGTTGGGAGTGGAAGTTAGGACTTATCCAAGTAATTGACATTAATTGATGAAACCTAATTTTTAATCCTAGTGATCATCCTGTAGTCAAACCTTCCTAGTCTGATAATGACCTGTTTATTTGTTTCTTTTTCCATTAAGTCATCCTTAATCTATGCTAATATTTTACCCCAAATCCCATAAATTGTGATCCTATTTTACAACCTCTTATGTAGCACCTTTCAAAATACCCTCTGAAAATCCAAATATACAATCTCCATTGCTTTTCTTAAATATTCCATTCAGAGTGCATTCTCAAAAGAACTCAAACAGATTTGTCAAACATAATTTCCATTTCATAAAACTTTTCATTCTGCCTAATTATGTTACTATTTCGCAAGTGCCATTTACAAACTACGTTAGATTCTGTCATTTTCCTTAATACCAGGCCAGAGAACCTGTCAAAACAATTCAGATATTCTTGAACTAAGGTGATCAACCCAGATTCCCCTTACCCAATGAGATGTGTTTCCTCACTTTCTGTAGCTGAGTGGCAAATCAAACATATAATTCAGTTCCAAATCTCTTAAGCACAACAGTATTCAATTCTCAACCATTCATCAAAATTTTGGCTAAGACACAAACATAGGGGAAAATCTCATATCAGTTACCTTTTATGATATTGTACACCGGTGTACATATTATTGTTACTCTTTGGGGGCATATTTCTTTGGAACTTCTAAGTTTGAAATTGTAAGTTGGGCAGAAACTTAGTTATATGTATAAATCATGTTGTCTTCATTGAAAGTAATGGGAATAGAAGCTTTGATGAGATTCACCCACGCTGACGTGCAAAATATTCATGGATGTGCAAAAGAGACTAAATTATTGCTTTCAACCACACAGTGTGTTCCTTCCAGTTTTCATTTCACCTCTTATTCTAACCTTGGATAGCTAGTGTTGCAGTGATTTAAATGCAAGTTCAGAGAGAACTGTTGATATCTGTAACCTTGTGATACTAATGATTGGTATGATTCATTTCTTTGAGAAGAAAGTGGAAATGCCTGGCTCTAGTATTTGAGTCATATCTTTCATCATGTAACACACTGATTTTAATAGAATAAAGTGTGCTGCTTTTTCAATTGGCAATTTAGAATAGAAAATTGTGTTACAGAAAATAGCAAACAGTGCTAACAAATATTTTTGTTAGCTGTTAAGTTTAGGGAAACAGTCTTGGCATCTTCGGGTACAACTCTGAGTGCTGCTCAGCCTCCGTTCTGTCTCTGCTACGACACTGAACTCCTGTGTAGCACAGTATTTGATTTGCATTTTTATACGAATTGCATGAAGCTTTTTTGTGTTGTTCTCTTGCAGTGGAGACAAAAAACAATGTTAGCATCTAAATGTCTGTCTGTTCTGGAACAATTCAAAAACAATCACGAGAACTTAAAACGGAAACATAAATGAACCTTATTAAATTTGAGGTTCAACTCTCAACAGTTTAGAATTTGACTAGTATCTCTTTTTTACCCAGAAAGGCTTCAACCGAATTGTTAAATTGATAATGATTAGTCTGGGCTGAATCATAGTAATGCTCATTAATTAATCTCGTTGGCCCTTGGAAACTGATCAAAACCGGCAAATCCAAGTAATTGTAGCTGCTTGCAAATGGGCAACAGGGACCCTCCTGTGGAAAAGTCGTAATGTCCCTACCCCTAGACTGGGAGGCCTGAGTTCAAGTCCCACCTGCTCCAGAGATGTGTAAAAATTTCTCTGAACAGTTTGATTAGAAAAACAGGTTAAGACAAAATCATCTGCTGCTGAAATCCTTACAAGGAGGCCCTCTTGTGGCTCAATGCTATGTCTTTGCTCCTGGACTGGGAGGCCTGGCTCCCACTTGTTCCAGTGGTGTGTAATAATGTCTCTGCACAGATTGGTTAGAAAAATAGATTTTTTAAAAAGTGCAAACAGGCAACAAGGATCCTCTTGTGGTACAGTGGTAGTGTCCCTACCCCTGGACTGAGAAGACCTGGGTTTAAGTCCTATTTGCTCTTGGGTGTAATAACATCTCTGAACAGGTCGATTAGAAAAATAGTGCAAACTGACAGCATTGATCACAGATTATTTAAATCTCTGGCTCTGTTAATTTCTTTTTTACTTTGCTGATGATCATTTTGTCACAATGGCCTCTGGCATGCACATGTTGGACACTATTTGTGTATTTCCATATAAAAAGGAAAATATTAAAATCATTACACAATTCTAGGAGCCACACAAGATAACCACAGATCATGTATTCTGTACAATACTATTGTATGAAGCTTTTTCTGGAATTAGAAGCTTCCCTATGTCTGCATACAACAGACAAGTACACACGCTTACATTTTGTTTTCATTGCTAGTTGTTTTTTCCCTGGAACAGGTTATCAGAGGCCATAACTTGAGGAGCACTACTCCACATCAAGCATACCTGACCAAGAGGCTTTCCCATTCTTATAACCTGCCATTGCTAAACCTTGGAATGGGACTTGACCCAAACCTTTTGATTCTTAGTTAGGGATGCTACCCACTACATCACAAGACCTCCAATAAAGCATTTTCTCTGAAAGATTAAAGCTGTTTTCTTTGCATTCCCTAGTCACCGTGAACCAGTAGAAGCATTGCAAACTTAACAAATGAGGAGATTCCAAAGCGATATTACTGGCTAATAAAAAAACTGTTTTGGTGTTGTTTATATGTGGTAATCACCTGTGCAATAATGCATCCAGTATTGTTTGCTAAGTGGTGTGGGTACTGATTTTACAAATTCTGTGGCTGCATTCCCATTATCTCCCACAGAAGGAAAAAATGTGAATCAGTAAAGGGAATTGTGAATGTGACATTTGTCATTCTGCACTGACGCTCTGGTATACTGGCCCATATAATGTTTAAAAAAAAGTCTTTCAATTTCACAATATTAGTAATGTCAAAATCTTCTTTTTGAGCTGTGACTAGTCAATCAAGTGACCCCATTTAATAATGGGATTATGTATTGATTTGATGATGAACTCGTCTCTGGTGAATTAGTTGTGGTGCAGTGAAGTGTGTATTCATGTAATTTTTCTTTTACCCCTCTGTGCAGAGTGGTTTTGGAACAGTAGTAATAAAACCTATGCCGATCTTGTCCCTGTGGAAGGAACAGAAATTGCTGCTGCAATTTAAAGGGCCATGGGCCTCTCTCCAGAGTAGCAGACAGGAATGGACAGAATGTCTAGGCATGAAACAGCTATAGGGTGACTACAGATGAAAGAGCATCCAGGTTTTCTGAACCATTCCCAGGGGATGGTAGTGTGAAGGGATTGGTGGTTTGCTAGAAGTGACAAAGTCAGAAGTCACATGACACCAGGTTATAGTCCAATAGGTTTATTTGAAATCATAAGCTTTTGGAGTGCTGCTCCTTCATCAGGTGACACTTTAATGTACACATCCCTGGACACTACGGGGCAACTTAGCATGGCCAATCCACCTGACTGCACATCTTTGGATTGTGGGAAAAAACCCATACAAACACTGGGAGAATGTGCCAACTCCACACAGTCACCTGTGGCTGGAATCGAACCTGGGTCCCTGGCGTTGTGAGGCGGCAGTGCTAACTACTGAACCACCATGTATAGCAACATCAAAATTAATCTGGATTGATTAACTTTAGAGATAGCTTTGACCGCTAAGTAGGCATCTTGACTCGTGGCTCTGCACTTTGTTATAGGATTGGAAGAGGTGGTTGTGGGCTAACTTTTCCCTTGTTTGCAAAAAAAAATGTATATTTTGTGAAGGATTGTTTTTAAACCTCTTTTAGATGTGACTTTGTAATAGTCGGCACAGATAAGCTCCTGGCAAGTTTAAGTTCGAGAAAAAGACAAGTATTTATTCACACCACACCCAGAATTTAAACACAACAAAATACACGCATACTCAAACACAGAAAAGAACAGATGAGTTTTATAGATGATACATTCACTTAGGTTACGAATGGAATAACAACAGAACAAATTATGTGGTGAAATTGGTTCTTTAAGATAAACTTGGCTCAGGCTTGGATGGAGTTTCTCTTGTATGGTTTATTGAAGGTGAATGGAGGTTGGATATCTCTGGATTTTCAGATGAAAGTACAATGAGTTTCAGCAGAAAGAGATATGCTTTTGTTGCTGGTGGAACAAATTACCTGCTTTCTCACTACCTCAGTCAACTGGTTTTTAGGTAGACTGGTGGAGGAATATTCCCTCTTATGTCTGTCAAAATCAAGACTGACTTGTCAATGGCTGGGTGCTGAAGTAATAAGATTTTGTTATCCGGTCAGATACGCAATACTTTGAATTATTTTTCTAATCAACCTATTCAGAGATGTTATCACACACCGCTGTTGTCCACACAAATGATTTGAAGCCATTGCTCCATAATAGTGGATGAATGGTGGTTGTTCATACCTGCTTGTGATAAGTTGGTTTCTCTTCACATCTCTTTAAGTTTCAAGTCCACTGGCACTAATTCTGGTGTGAGATCACTTATTTCAAGTTTTGATCCTATTCAGGGGAGGACACTTCATCCACTGATATTTACAATTTGATGACTTTCTGAAAGCATTTGCTAGTTCTTGTCTGAGCAGAGATATTCAATAGTCACCTGACCTTCAGCCAACTCTTTAGCACATTTTATTCATTTTTTTAAAGCAGGTTAAAGTGGAAGTAGGTTATCTTTGCTCAGTCTGGCAATTATGAAGGGTGGGTTGTTACTTTCCTGACCACTTCGAGTATCTGACATTTTGTGCAGGAGACCGTGATTGAGATCACAAATAGCTGTATGTAAATAGATTGAAAGCCTTTTCTCGTTGTAAAACTTATTCCACAAGACAATACCCCTAGTGTCCCACCTGTTAGAATGAAAAATAATTTGTACAATTAGGTAGATTTTTCATTTTCCTTTGTTAATTGGGAAGCAAATGGATTGCCTTTGTTAATAGGGCATCAGTGTTTTTGACATAGTGAGGTTCCACCTGACTAATGTGGCAAAGGTCACCTGATACTGTCTGGAAGGCTTGGACTGCAAAGAAATTCAAAGCAGTTGTAACCTTCGTAGAAAATACTGTTCCCCCAACGTAATTTTTTTGTTCATTCATGTGGGACACAACATGGGACGTGGACATCACTGGCCAACCAGCATATATTGCCCATGCTTAGTTGTCCTCGAGAAGGTGGTAATGAGCTGCTTTCTTGATCCGCTGCAGTCCACATGCTGAAGGTTGACCCACAATGCATTATGGAGTGGATTCCAGGATTTTGACCCGGTGACACTGAAAGAGCAGCAACATATTTCCAAATCAAGATGATGAGTGGCTTGGACGGGACTTGCAGATTGTGGTGTTTCCATGTATCTGCTGCTCTTGTCCTTCTAGATGGAAGTAACTATGGTTTTGGAAGGTGAAGTGCAAGATCTTTGGTGTATTTCTGCAGCCATCTTATAGATAGCACCCTCTGCTGCTACTGAACATTGGTGGAGGGAGTGGATGCTCGTCTAAATGATGCCAGTCAAGTGGGCTGCTTTGTCTTGGATGGTGTCGAGCTTCTTCAGTGTTCTTGGACCCATTCAGGCAAGTGGGGAGTATTTAATCACATGCTTGACATGTGCATTGTAGATGATGGACAGGCTTTGGGGACTCCAGTGAGTGGTTCACTGCATTATTCCTAGCCTCTGACCTGCTGTTGTATCTACTGTGTTGATGTGGTGAGTCCAGTTGAGTTTCTGGTCAAAGGTAACCCCAAGACTTTTTGATATTGGGGCATTCAGTGAAGGTAACTCCATTGAATGTCAAAGGATGGTGATTAGATTGTCTCTTATTGGAGATCGTTATTGCCTGGCATGCATGTGGCACATATGTTATTTGCCAGTTGACAGACTAAGCCTGAATACTT